TCCCCAAAACCCCAAAACCCCAAAACCCCAAAATTCAGGATCTTGCTTGAATTAATATAAAAATGAGCAATCACTGAGACGACTGCCTTTTGTTCTTTAAGTTCAATGATAACTGTCCTATTCTTACTTGGGACAAGTTTTCAGAAATGCCTTTGCAATATTTGATAAGCCTTGAAATGGCACTGACCAGTGCACAGCTGTATTTCGATTTATTATAATTATGCTTAACTTTGCAAGAACAAAATGGAATCGGATCCACCTAGGAGCGATCTACGCATTCATACTATTATCATCTGAATTGATTTTGAAACCTTTCTTCCAGCAGCCAAGACCAGAAGGATCTTGCATTGATGGATACGGGTTTCCTTCAGGTCATGCTACCAGCTCAGCAATAATAATAATATTTATTCTAACCTTGTACTCTAAGGGATGGATCAGATCTCGCTTGTTCGTGACTGTTTACATTCTTCTGATGCTAAACCAATCCTACAGTAGGATTTACTTGAACTATCATTCAGTCGAACAGGTCATATCAGGTTTCATGATTGGGTTGGTCTCCAGTCTTCTTCTGTTGGAGCATCTACCTATCTCTGAGAATATGTACATGAAGTCTGACAATGGATGGAGCACAGAGCTAAAGGTATGCAGGGTTCGGGCTATCATAATCCAGACTTTTATAATTTGAGGTTGACTTCTTCATCCTCTCCTCACTGCATGGCTACACTAGATTCATCAATAACTTTTGGATACATTGGACTTCCTACACTCCTCTAGTGTTGAAGTATCATGCCAATAACTTTAAGTCACAATGGCGTTATTAAGAATAAAACAAAATTTATTGATCTGATTCTTCCTGCAGTGCACAATTAAGTCTGGTTTATTTATTGAACAACTGAGAATTTGGCAGTAGAAGTCCTACAGTAATTAGACTATTTTAGGAGAATTTAGGCTAAATACGTGTTCAATTTTTGCCAGGATAAATGGGGTTTTGGGGTTTTGGGGTTTTGGGGTTTTGGGGTTTTGGGG